CTGGCAGGGCTGCTCCGCCCATGCCCCTCTGCTGGCAGGGCTGTATTCTTATTGCTCCCTGGAGCCTAGAGAATAACCTCACCACCTCATTTAAATGCATTTTACCTTGTTAATGCTCCGTCAAATGGAAATGGATCACTTTTCATTAGGATCACAGCACTTCAATTAGGAAAAGCCATTTACCTAAAATACTGTCACTATAACTAGTTATTTATGGGATCTCAAGTGCTTCTAAATGAGCAAGCCACTGACCTTGGGAGTTGTCCCTGGTCCTGCCACTGCACAGGCCCAGCTCTGTGCCAGTCCTGCTCACCCCGCTGTCTCACTGGGCCCCTGCTCTTGCGTCACAAAGCAGATGCTGTTTGGGTCCCCTTCCTCAACCCAGGGCTCCAGCCCCATCTGCCCAAAAGGAGCTTGTGGTAAATGTGGGCACAGAGAGAAAATGAAAGTTCTGTGGTCCTTTGACCTACAGAGAATCACTTCTGCTGGGCCCCTAGAGACTCCGTCTGCCAGACCCCAGCTACCAGAACCGTGACCACCACGGAAATGGCCTCTCCCCTGTCTGCAGCAGCACCTCTTGCAGCTCTTCCTGGGTGGACTCCTGAGCCTGCACACAGCGCTGCTCCAGCCCTCCGCGTGGCGTCCCCAGCAGGCCGTCACAGTGACACTTGAAGCTCTGGACTAAGAGCTTGAGCTCACTGTCGCCCAGTTCTAGCCAAACAGTAGTTCTGGAGAGGAGGGCGGGTGGGAGGGGAGGGGTGGGGTGGACAGAAAAAAAACAAAAAAAAAAAAAACTAGTTCTGCTAAACATAAGGAAAAGGTTAAGGATCTTTCTTTCTATTGTCCGGGATGCTTTGAAGATCTACTCATTCAAGGCCTATAGAGTACATAGGAGGGCCCCCCCGTACCCCCGACACCCCCCTCCCTCCATAATTGTTCTCTTTCTGAAAAGTCTGAAGCTTGTTGCAGTATGTGTTGTAAGGGCTGTGTTCAGAGCACCCTCACATCAGTCATATCGTAAGGTCGTCTGGTAACCCCGAGATGTGCTGCTGCTTTCCTCAGATCATGCTGCCTCGTGCCCTGTCCAGGTGTCCCTTAGTGTGGGCGGCTGGGAACCCAGCCCCGCAAGTGCAGGCGAAGGTGCTGGCTGGCTGTGTTTGGTTTTGGCCTTCTTCCTCGCCCCTGTATTTCTGTCTCCACACGTTCTGACTGCTTTCCCACTACTTGCCACCTTACTGTGCGATCTTACTGCGTTTTTTCCCTGTCCTGGAAATCCTGTGTTTTATTCTAGTCACCAGGCCCTTCCTCTGATCCCCAGGCCCCCCTGCACTGTAGTTTGAGTTACACAGGGCTTCATGTCTTCCTAGCAACCTCAGAAAGAGAACAAGTCACTTTGTCTCGTGATCCTGTTGTATTAGGTTTGAGATGCTGGATGCCGCAAAGAACAGGATCCGGGTGAAGATCAGCTATCTGATGATCGTGTTGACCGTGGCCGGATGCATTTTCATGGTGATAGAGGGGAAGAAGGTGAGCTGACCTTCCGGTCTGTCTGCCTTCATATGCTTCCCACAAAGCAGCTGTGGGAAAGGCAGGATGGGCCCTGGTACGAACGTATTGGAGGCCACATTCTATACAGAAATCCTCGGAAGTGAAGTAAGGCCAAGTGGGATAACGGGCTTGCAGGTAGCTAGCACATCCTGGCTGCAGTATAAAGAGCCCTGGGGCCTAGTAGTGAGGAGTTGGGCTGCTAGCTGCAAAGTCAGCAGTTCGAAACCACCAGCTTCTCCCTGGGAGAAAGATGAGGATTTCTACACTCTAGAGTGCATCTCAGAAACCCACAAGTGGTTCTGCTCAGTCCGGAAGGGTCACTAGGAGTTAAAATTGATTTGAAGGCAGTGAGTTTGGTTGTGTTTTTTAACTTTCCTGTAAAGTTTTAGTGTTTCATTACCACAGATGTCATAAATAATATGACATAAGATACATGACACTGACCTGTTTAATACTGAGCTCTTGCATGTCTACAAAGCATGCTCAGAGCACGGCTTACTTACTCTGCCTGTGTTCCTGGTGACCACGCTCCACCCTGAGGAGATACACTGGAAGCCCAAACTGTTGGATGCTGCTGGAGTAGCGAGCATTGGGACGAATTAGAAGACAATATAGCCACGGCATAGTTTGGTCCCTCTTGCCATTAACTCCTTATACCCTCCCCAGTCAGTGTAAGAAAATACCAGCATATAACTTTCACATATTTGGTATAGAAATTGAAACTGGCCTGTTACTGCAAACCTCACAGAATCGTGCCCACCCGCACGGAGGAGCACAAAGACAGAGAGAGAATGGCGGCCCCTCCCGGTTGCTCCCTCAAGGAGGGGCTGTTAGGGTGGAGATGGCTGGGAGTCCCTGACAGAGCATTTTGATAAAGTTGAGGATCCCCAAAGCTGAGCGTGTTTGGTGAAAAAAAAGTAGGAACCAGAAGGGTGTGAAAGTATGCGAGTGGAAAAGAAATGCACCTAGCAGCGAAAAGGGGGGGGGGGGGGCATATATCGGAAGACTCCACCCCTAATGAGAGGACACGTGGACAGGCCTGAGTCTGAAAGGAAGGTGTAAGAAGGAAGCGCGAGGATTCAAAGAAAAGGACGAGGCAAGGGAAGGGAGAGGGTTGGCGTTTAATTGTGTTCAACTGAACTGGCCACTGTCATAAACCAGTATGAAGCACAAGGTCCCTGCAGGGAGCTGCTGGGCCCAGTGTGCCCGCCTTTCAATGCCCTGCCCCGCCCCCCTGTTGCTTCCCCTGCTGGCCTCCAAGGCCCTGGCCACCTGCCCTATCTGGCACAAATCAACACCTGTGAAAATCTGTTTCCCTGTAGGCTGCCAGAAGACACGAGTCTTTAACAAGCATAAACTTAGAAAAGAAGGCTCGTCTGAGAGAGGAGGCACTGAGAGAAGCAGAAGCATTGAAGGCCAAAGCCGAGTAGCCATGGCGTCCTTAGTGGCTGGAGCTTTAAAATCCAGGAGTGCAGGTGCAGCAACAGCTGGCATTGACAAGAATATAGCACGAGGATGCATTTCTCAAAAGGGTGGTTTGCACAAATGTACGTACCCCTTTCTGCTCTAGAGTTACAAATAAATTCTCTTTACAAATAACTTGTCTATAACTTATGGCTTTGATCCCAGTAAAATGCAACCTCTTAGCCTTTTGGAGAAAATGGAAGAGTGAAAAACAAGACAATTTATTTCAACTTCAATGTTAACGCGTCATGTATCTGATCGAGAAGACGGCTAAGGAAACCTCATCCAGCGGCTCCACTGACTCAGGAGCTCGCTGCGAGTTGGAACTGACTTGCTGGCACCAGGCTTGCTTGTTCTTCCATGCGCTCATTTCTGCAGCTATTAGGTCACCAGCTGAGGACACTTTGCAGACTGGCCTCTCTACCTGCCTGAGGCGTCAGAGAACCCTAGGAAGCAGCCCGGCACTGTCCTTGGTGAGGCATGCTGACACACAGGCTGTTGGGAGGGCACTTGCTGAGTAAGCCCTGTTCAGGTGATGAGAGTGGTCTGGCCCCAAATCTCTGAGGACTTGGAAATCCCAACCTCATAGAGTTGCTAGAGGCAAGCTTAGCCCCTTCTGCTCCATGGCTCAGCTTTCCCTTTTCCTGCTGTTTTTACACCAGCCTTGTTAATTGTGAAAATCTAATGTATTTTCTTTTTTTTCATTTTCATTTTTTTTAAACATTTTATTAGGGGCTCATACAACTGTTATCCCAATCCATACACACATCAATTGTGTAAGCGCATTTGTATTTTCTTACCACTCGAGTGTTGAGATACAAGCATTTGCACCTGGTATATGTCACATGTATAGTTTGGCTTATTGTCTCCCATCTAAGTATGGATGCTGGTTTCTGTGTTACACACGCCACTCATTCTTGCTGCTTCACGAGTCTTGAGTGGATGGCAAGTCCTGCGAGCCAGGCCAACGTGCCAGGTCTTCCAGGTCACCCTGCAGCAGCGTAGTGCAATGCTCACTCAGTCAAATGCAGTGGCTCCATAGTCTAGCTGGTAATGCTGCTACTGATAAGTCTGCTGGTACACCTGAGCGTAAAGTCGATTGACCCTTTCCTTTCCAGAGAAGTTCCCTGATTTTTTTTATCACTTGCAAAGTTCTCATCAAAGGCATTGTTTCGCGTACGTTTCAGCACATTAGGTTTTCTGCCTTGCTTGGAACACTTGTTTGTGCCTCACTGAAACCAGTGTTTTAGAAATGGGTCTTTTTGGAAAGTAAGCTTGCTTTCTTCAAACAGCAGTATTTTTAATTCCTAGAGGTAATTGAAAGCAATGTATCTGAAAGATTTTCTGTAATAAATGTTTCATTAAACAAAAGCTCACAATTGTTACCATGCAGCAAGAATTTCTAGTCTTTTCTCAGTTCATTTTCCTATTCAATAATTTAGATGACTGTCTTTATGGATTAAATATCAATTCTTGGCTAGGAATTCATACCCACCCTAACCAACCCCACCCCTCCTTGTCTCTTAGCAACCATTCCCCACTAGGTCAGTCCTCCGTGTTGACAAGGCAGTGGAAGGTGCCGTGCACCACGGTGGAGTACTATGGAACACAAAAGAAGGTCACTCCCCTTGTTTCAGTTCAATTATTTTTGTAATGCATGTGCTTCATTCCTAGATTTTCTTTTTTTGCATGTCTACATCTCCATAGATAACTATATCTCTATAGATAACAGAGAGCAGAAATGTTTCCACTTTTTATTTCCTATAAGCCCATGTGATCCTAGTAGTTAATATTTGAGGAAATAGTCTGATTTTTAATCAGCAGTAACAGTAACGTTAGAATCATTACTAAGATCTCTTGAAACCGAGGCAGGCAGGCATGAAAGCTGTGGTGATACCATTCATTGTCACTTGTCCCACATCAGTGGAGCCCCTTTGCTATGTAAACACGGTTTTCTTTTTTTTTTTTTTTTAATCATTTTATCAGGGGCTCATACAACTCTTATCACAATCCATACATACATCAATTGTGTAAAGTACATTTGTACATTCATTGCCCTCATCATTCTCAAAACATTTGCTCTCCACGTAAGCCCCTGGCATCATGTCCTCACTTTCCCCCCATAAACACGGTTTTCTACAGAGATGAATAAAACAGACTTTTCGTTCCACAGAGCATCTGGTGGCATCATGACTCACCAAACAGGGCAGTACAAATTGGTAAGCGATCTGCTGTGAACCGTGTAACAGAACTAGAGAAAGAAGCCTGGTTGTCCGCTGTGGTTGCAGGCAGGCAGGTCAAACTGCTGCATGTGAATGAGGGGTCGTCAGCAGGTCAGACAACACGTGAGGGAACGCATTCACACTACTCCCCTCACCTGCAAATCACCAGAGGGCGCGGCCTGGCAAGGTAGTGAGGACCTTTGGGAAGCCAAGCCAAGTACCGGTTGTTTACCTTTTCAGTTTTTTGTCTCGATATTGATACTGATGAACGAGCTTGGACTTCTTTTTCAATGTACAGACTTAGTTTCAGCACGTGCTGTTCTGCGTGCGCTGCAGGATGCCGCTCGAAGTGTGGGTAGCACCTGGTCTGCATCCCCAAGTCCCTACCACGGTTGCAGACTTCCTCCGCCCATCTCCCAAACCAAGAAGCCTGGACTTCCTCCAAACATCCTCTCACTTAATCAGGTCTCCTGTCTGGTCAGCTTTACACCTAAGCATTGCTCAAATAGACTGGAACAGTCACGGAGAGGAGTACAACAGGTACTGCCACAGAGATTCATCGCGGCCTCAGGATTTGCAGTCAGAAACCCCAAGTTCTGCGCTGGCTTTTGCAACCACCTTGCTTTGTAAATTTAGGTAGTAAGTCTCCTAAAATATTGCAATCAAAGACAGTTTAAAAAAATCCAAAACTATGCCTAAATTCAAAGAAACAATCTTTTAAAATACCCCAAGTTTTCTGCTAACATGGCTCTACTAAATTTCCAAAGGGTTTAGTAGTCACTCATCCATAGCTTAATAGTTTTGTCATTTTCCAATGCTGCTGATGCTATGATGTTTTCCACAGGATGGCAAGTTGCTGCGATCACGACATCTGTATGACCTTGTAATCTCTGTACGACCTCCCTCGTCTGAAGGTTCCAAATGTAAACCAGGTTGTCCTCTGACCCAGACACAATCCACTTTCCGCCAGTAACTGAGAAATTGGCAAATATGCAGTATTTCTCATTCTTATGACCAGTGTAGGACTTCAGGCATCTGCCTCGGCTGTAATCCCAGAGTTTAAGAGTATTGTCCAAAGTTGCTGTGAGAATATATTTACCATTTGGCGAAAATTGTACAAAAGAGACGGGAGGGTTATCATCATCAACCAGTGTTTTTAAGCACTGACCTGATGCAACGTCCCAGATTCTGCAGAGACCATCGTAACTACCTGACACCATCAAGGCCCCACTACAATTAAAATGAACAGCGGAAACGGGGTCAGAGTGAGCTGACAGAGTCTTGAGGCACTTGCCCGTGTCCACCTCCCATATTTTCACAGTCTCATCAAAAGACCCTGAAATGACGAGGCTGGATGGCGGGTTGAAATTACAACAAAAGACGTAATCACGGTGCCCCTCTAGTGTTTTCAAGCATTTCCCAGCCCTCACATCCCATATCTTTAGAGTCTTATCATCCGAGGCAGAAACAAGACGAATGGAATCGGAGGACCAGGCAACATCTGATACTTCCAGACGGTGGCCGTGTAATGTTTTCTCATAGTTTCCATCACAGACTCTCCAGATTTTAATTAGCTTATCAGCAGAAGAACTGGCCAGCCATTCTCCATTAGGACTGAACTTCACGGACGATACGGCTCCCGTATGTCCCACCAGCGTGGATTTCAGAATGTAGTTCGGCTTGGCAGCCGACGGCCAGCGCGGGCGGGCTGCGGAGAGGGCCGACTCCGCGAAGTGCCCGGTTGCCATGGCTCCCAAGTGCCGGGCTCGAGCGTGGCTAGTCGCGGAGCGGTCCAGGAATTCGCCTTTCTGCCCAGAAAAACGAAGACAAAACGATGGCTAAGAAAATAAGCGGCCCTCAAGCATGATACTTTCTGGAATGTAATTTAGTTGCATAGAATCAAGACCACTGAAATGGCCCACTTCAACCTTTCCTCTTTTGTAGACTGACAGTTGAGAAACTATTCGGACGGTCCTGTGAGGGTGAGATGCTCGTGGTTGGTATTTTATGAACGGTGACGAGCGGGCGGGGCGCGAGGATCCACACAGAAAGTAGAGCGCGGCGGACGTCTACTAGAAAGTGACTCAATTCCAGGTACTTGAAGGTGACTCAATTCCAGCTTTAGGCAGACTCAGAAACTAAGGGAACACTTGAGCGGGATCCACATCCGGGGTCTCGAAGGCTACAATCTGGAAACAACGGAGCCCCACCAATCACCCTCCAAGGAAGACGCGCGGTCGTGCGCACAGGAGCTGTGGCGCGGCCGTCAGGGTTGGGTCGCGAACCCTACCGGCGCTTCAAATCCAACGGGTACCAGTGGGAAAGAGTTAAGGCTCTCAGAGGTCCGAAGATTTACGTCTTTACGTCTCCGAACGTAGGGTTGGTGGGTCGGAACGGAAGTCTTCACAACGAGGTCCCGCCCCTTACCGAAATGACCAATAAGCTAGGCTCTCCTGCGCGTGCGCAAAGCAGTTGTAGTGGTTTTCTTCCGGTTCTAGGCCTCTCCGTTTCCTCTCTCCGCCCCAGGGGAAAGCGGGAACAGAAGGCTGTCTTTATTGACCGTGGTGGCAGCCGGTGTATTTCACTTCGTTTTTGGAAGGTGAGTGTTAAAGGAAAGGGCTAAAGTGGCCGCTGCCCCTTCACCTCAGAGCTCAGCCCACATCTAGCACGTGAACTATCCAAACCGCACGCTTTTCGGAATTGTTACTAAGGCCCATTCCAGTTGCAGCGACCCTGCCGCCCGCTCCGCATGTGGCTTTGGTTCTGAAGAGCCTGGTGGCATCAAGGTCTACATGACAACGAACGAGACAATGTGTGGGGAAGGGGACAGTAACGGAATTCGTGCCCAGAGTGTAAAGCTGCCGACCCTGTCGACCTAGGACACTGGGAGTGCTGGGGAAACGAGCCAGCGTGTGCTTCAGTTCCCTAAAGTTTTCTTAACTTCGGAGGAGAACGAAGAGATCCGGCTGCCATAAAGGTGCTTAAGGCTAGCAGAGGGCAAAGAGTTGTAGAGGGAGGTTAGAAACGAGGGGAAGTTACTCTTAATTGGGCTTTGAAGATCTTTCCCTAGTTTTAAGAAGTAACTAATGTCAGTGAAATTGTAAACTATACGTGCTATTCAGATGTTTCTACGTTTTGAAGAGAGAAATGATCACATGATGCTGTCAGTCAGTCAAGAATTAAAATTGAATATGAATTTGGAAAGAAAAGTCTTTCGTGTAAATACAAGTTTCACAACCCTGAGCTCAGAACTGGGTGGTGCCCAGCTACCACTACCAACTGCTCTGAAAAGGTCCACATTGGAAGGCCCTGGGTAGAGGAAGAGAAAAACGTAAAGCAGAACTCAAAAGTCATAAAAGATACCAAGCTTACTGGTCGATGGATACTAGTGGAACCCCCAAGGTCATGGCCCTTGCCATTCATGTTTGGAACTGAACTCATCGCTGTATGGGAATAATCAAACACAATGACCAAAAGGGCAGCATTAACCAGAGTTCCGAGGGTTTGGAAAAGAAGGAATGGAATAGAAACAGGAAAACAAGTAGGAAACATGGTGGTATACCACAGGGATTGTGATGGATGAGTTGAAGCAGAAACATGCAATGTTAAGTGTAAAACTATAATCTGCCCTTCACCTTATTCAAAATTTAGAAGAAGGGTCTACGGTACACTTTTAGGTGGCAAATTTAAGTCTTGTTCTTAATTGCAGTGAAGTTGACCCCCGCCCCATGGTCACATCTGTAACAGTGACCGTTCTTGTGCTGGCTATCCTCAGGGACTTGTCGGACGGCCTCTGTTGTCAGCTGCCCTGGAGCTGCCCCCATTCTCACAGACAGCATGTGCCACCACACAGAAGTGCGCCGTAGGGTTTTCTTGGCTGTCACCTTTACAGAAAGCAGATTGATTGCCAGGCCATTTCTTGTGGGGAGCCACTGGGTGTTTGAGCTGCCAACACTTGTTAGCAGCCAATTGTGGCCGGACAACTGGTTTGAGTAGATGGGAATTGGGCTATGTATTAGTGTAAATTAACAATGTAAATACAGTGAGGAGATGCTGGGGGTGACCATCTTTGGAATAGTTTGGAGCATGTAATTATATGTACATTTAATTATGTTCTCATAGTGATTAAGACCTCCATGAACTTCCTTTTGTACCATTTGGAAGTGAAGCAGCATTTTCCTTGATTGTATCTTAAAAGCTCAATTCTAACCTTTTGCCTCACAAAGCTCTTTGTCCCATTAGTAGGTGCAAGTGAGTTTCAGTGCTCAACCACCAGCCCGATGGTTGTCAATTGAACCCCACCCGCTGAGGAGATGGCCTGGCAATCTACACCTCTGAAAGTTACCACCTGGAAATGTTCTTCTCGGCCCCAGGTCAGAGTCCACTCAGCAGCAATCACAGTGGGACTCGTAACTGGGAAGCCTATAAGCACCCTCCCTTTGGCATCAAGTGACGCTACTTTCATTTTAATTAACTTTATAAGAAATATAAATACAGTGCAGAAAGCAAAGTTTATGATTGCTTCAAAGAATTTAAACGCATCTGTATTTCTCCGGTAACTGTTCTGTGCACTAGCAGGGTAAAGAAGCAGCTAGACAGGGTTAAATCATGAAATAAGGCGAGGATGGGGGTTGGGGCTGGAGTAGTTAACGTATAGAAGTATCACAAGGGATAGGTACTTGGAATGTGCTGAAAGGAAAATCCAGAAATTCTTTTCCTCAGGTTTCCCCAGAATTTCACTTTAGAAATTGCCATGATTAAAATCTACTTCTTGATAATCTGTTAATTTTTATTTCCAGGTATTACTAGGGACTTCTGTAAAGAAAAGCAAGGCTAGAATAAATTCTGTGTATAAATCCTGTTGACGCAAAGAGCAAAATGTTGATGTTAACTAGTGCCAACATTGTACTCTTCTGACCTATGTGGGACTACCGGTTTCAGAGTTTACTTCCTTAGTTGGAGGAGGACATTGCTGACTGTGGAGTGTGTGTGCTCATGGACCACTAATCCAAATTAACCCCAAATGCAAAGACTATCATTAGAGATTTGCATTCTGGGGTTCCCAAGCAAAATTCCTTCCTTTTAACTCCACACACCTCCTACTACCCACCCCTTGCCTGTTCTTATCTTCATCAAATAAGAGATTCTATTGTCTTCCTTCCTATAGAGTCAACTTTGTTTTAAATCTCCCATAAAAGCTTTGAAATAGACCTCTCATCTCTGATGAACTTTTACTCCCAAAGGGAGGCCATTGCACCCATTTTGTTCGTTCCTATGATCTTGGATGTTTTTGCAAGGAATAAAGTTAATCTCGAATTTTTTAAATCCCTATCTGTAGAAGAAAGAGAACACAAGAGGCCTCATCAAATCTACATTCTAAATTGAATTCACGAGTAGGTTATTTGTTGTTTTTTGGTGTGTGATTTCTAACATTGAAAGAAAGCCTTGACTGACTGCATGGCAATTCTAGCTATCAACCAAAACCAAAGTGCTCCCTAAACAAAGTGCTACAAAATCTTTACTGAAGCAGCCAGCCTTTTCAGTCCCTCAGAAGCAACAGGTGGATTTTAATTGTGCGGCCCAACTGGTGACCCACTACAAACAAAACCGACCAACCAAACTCACTGCCATCTAGTTGATTCCGACTCAGCCGAGTGCCACACCCACAGAACCACCAGGGCTCCTGTGTGAAAGCAGCCGCTACATTGTTAGGTGCCTTCAAGTTCGTTCCAACTGATAGCGATCCTCTGTACAACGGAACAGTACACGGCCCAGTTCTGCGCCATCCCGTGTGTCAGTCAGCTTGTTGAGGGCCGCCTTCTTTCTCCACTACCTCTCCATCATGCATGATATCCTAACCCAGGGACTGGTCTTCATGTAATCTGTCTACATAGGTGTTCATCACTACTAACCGCCCAAGTACGCTCTCCTAATTACAGTGCAATTTCGGAAAACATTCTATAGCAGTTTTTGGTGGGTAAAGCACTGGTTCTATTAACCACATGGTTGAAGGTTCAAATCCACCAGCCATTGCACAGGAGAAAGCTAACGCAACAACCTCCTTTGTACACGAGTTTTACTAAACAACGTGTAAACCCAAACCTTTTTTGCTACAGGTGGAATGGACTAAGGCTGTCGCTTTTGTTTGGGTTTGGTTTCTGGAACAAGAAAACACTTGCCAGTGGAACCTCTAAAAAGAACTAAAGCTCTGAAAGAGAAACAATCCTGGAATGGAGGAGGTACTGTGTGTCTGCCTGAGGTAGTTCTTGTGCCAACCTGGCCGATAAACACATGTAAGGTTAACTGAAGGGTGGCTGGATAAATGGTTCAGTGAGCCTCGCCTTTCTAGTTCTCAGGGATCTTGCTTTCTGATGGTTGGACCAGGGTGCAACTGCCTTAGCCATTCCCTGATTTAGCTGTCAAGGCTCATTTCCTGCAAGACATCCCTGAGAAGCCGCATGGACCTACCCCTATGCAGCGCTGGGTGCTGGAGCAGCTGTGTGGAGACCCCTGCCAGCGCTGACAGGGTTACACATTCAGGGGTAAACCTTTTTTCCTGCAGTCGGCATCGTTGCATCTGTTTTGTGAGATGGAGGACGACTTTGTGGATTGGTGTTGGACATATGGGTTAATGTTGGACTTGTGGGCTTGGGCAGCACTGGGTTGGGCTGTTTTCTTGATGCGCACTTAACCTTTATATAAAACTCTGTTATGTATGAGGTTTCTGTGGATTTGTTTCTCTAAAGTACCCAGACTAACACACTGCCCATCCGTAGCGAACAAAGGAATGCAGCAACAAATATGCAAAATAGAAAAACCTGTTTCACAGCCAGAGACAACCATCAGCTTTCATATAGATTGGATAGAAATGGCTTTTTCCCCCTCCCCTCATTTTCAAAATATGCCAGAAGAGATTGGTATAAACATACGGGATTATGAATTAGCCTATGGGATAAGTTCAACTTTCCTCAGGGGCAGTTTTTTGTTAGTTTAGTCAAATGAGGTCTTCTGAAAGATTATATAGACAGATGTTCAGACACTAGAGTTTTGGCTTTAAACAGTATCATGAAGGAATTCCTTTCAGTGTTCTTTCATAAAGTTTTCTTTACTAAAAACATACACAAGGGGACTTCAAAAAGTTACTGGTAAAAGAGAATGAAAAGATAATGGAAATTAACCCCCCAAACATATTAAACGTGTTTATTGAATGTCTACTCTATGTGGGGCACTTCCTGTGACCTGGCAGGCCCCGATTATATACAAAGAATCAACAATCATTTCAAATCAAAGTGCCCAGACACTTTGGCATACCTACGGGGTGTCAATTCCAAATGATAGTCTATATAGGGTTTCTGAGGATGCACATGTTGCCCAGACACTTTGGCATACCTACGGGGTGTCAATTCCAAATGATAGTCTATATAGGGTTTCTGAGGATGCACTTATGTACAGGAGCCACATGGCTTTCTCATTCTCCCACAGTGGTCCTCCATCCACTCCAAGGGCCCTTTTGAAAGGGCTGCAGTAGTCAACATGGCCAAGAGAAGCAAAACATACTCAACATGTATCAATCCAATATATATTAAAAGGTAATTAAAAAATAAAAACCCTCCTTGAGACAGTATTACTTTAGGGGGTTGTGATGTCAATTTCCAGGGCAGTTTCCTATAAGGCATGGAGGGCAACTGACTGCTAACTTCAAGGCTGATTGTTCGAACCCCTTGAGACTAAAAGTTGACTACTCCCATAAAGATTTACAGCCTCACAAACCAGAGGGCTTCCAGTTTCATGATGGGCGGAGTTGGAATTGATTTGCTGACAATGAGACTGAACAGGATCAATGGCTCTTGGTTTTCTAAGGCCTTGCCTTGTGTCAGTAACTTCCATGTATTTATTGAATTGAACAGTTTCTGAGTTTGGCACAATTTTGTCTGGTCATGCAAATTTTTAGCACATGAGGGAAGATGTTTGGGTTGGGAAGGTCTATCCATGACTGTAACCTAAAAAAAACGGATTTGTTGGACTCTGTTGATGAATTCAGAAAGGAGAGGTGCAACAACCTATGGCTGCCAGAAACTTAACTGGGAGTTCCTGGCCACAGAGCCCTGTCCTAGACCCGTACTTTCCTCAGGATATAGAATGTGCAGGAGTCTTCCTCTCCTTTAGTCATCTAAAAATTGTAACCTTGGGTGGGTGCAGAACTTAAATCATGATTAGCCTTGTATAAGAGTGATTAAGTATCCATCTCAGAGTGACTTAAACCCGGAAACGTCAGTCCTTAGCCTGGCAACAGGCACACAGGTGTCCCAAGTAAAAACAATCTGCCTTTATTACCTATACAGACTAGGGCTACCCTGTCTAGCCTTCATTAGATACAAAATGTAACTGTCTGCCCAGTCCCATTTTTTACTCAAGCTTCTGTGTATCTTGTCAAGCAGCAGTTCCACTTGTAAGGAGCATGTTTGTCTTACTTCACCACATTCTTCTCGTGTGCTGGTACTCCTCGTCATTCACTGCCTGTGAAGTGACTTACACAACTCTGTGAACTCCTACCACGATTGGGTGGGGCCACGTAAACAAGATGTAGAAGACGCCAATTTGGGGCCTTGTCTAACTTCCTTAATAAACCTTTAACAAGTAATACACATGATCATGAGTACTGTGAGCGCTACATGGCCACTGCAGCAGATTAAGGAACGAAGCAGAGAGAGTATTGTGGGAACTGCTGGTGTCAGAATAGGATAAGAGGATGGAGGGTGGAGGCACGTCTGCCCTCTGCCTTGTGGTGAGCAGCCTTGGGCTGGTTAAGGAGCTCAATTCTTCTCCCTAGTGTAGCCTGAGGTCAGATGTGGCCACACCATTTCCCTCAGGATCCTTTTCTGAAAATACAATGTTATAGTAAATTCTGTTACAGCAGGCTTATACTAATACCGTCTATCTAAATGACAGAAAAGGGCAGACTAAAGTACTTCTGACCTATATAGATAAGTATTTGCTTGCTTTATGCCAGAATACTTAATATAAAATGGCAAATCAGATTTGAGACTGCCAAAATATACAGAATATACCTTTAGCATATAGTGTACCAATATGAATAGCAAGCAGTGAGCCTTTCTAAAGTGTCTTTTTATTACTAAACAATATTACCCGTAACAAAAAACCACCCTACCATCGAATTGTTATCCAAAACAAGGCCCCAAGCCCTCAAAAACCACCTCCTCACCATCGAGTCAACTCGGACTAGGTGCCCTGTGGATTCCCAAGGCGAGAAGAAAGCTTCGTCTGCGCGTGGCCAGTGGGTTCAAACTGCAGGCACTGTGGCTAGCAGTTCACGTGTAACCCCCATGCATGCCATCAAGGGCTGCTTACAAAGACTGTGACTCGCCTACTGACACAAAATGGGTTCATTGAACTAATCAGCAAAAAGGCAGTCTTTCGAACCAGGGAAAACCAATGTAATCCCTCTCCAAGTTGGGAGATTGAATAACTAAGATGTTCATTCAGCCCATAAAAGAAGATTAAAAGTTGCATGTGGGTTTAGTAGATGGTTGACAAATTTCCCTTTACTTATTTTTGCTTAAGCAAAAGCAGCAGTAGCCTGAAACAAGTCAGATGTATGATGGGAAAATTGCCAATGTTTATTTCCGAGACAATCAATGTTAGGGAAAGCCCCAACTGTAGATAGAAATCACCCAAGGGCAATTTTACAAGTCAGTATGACAAAGTTATAAAGTAAAAAACAGTGATTAGTTGGAGAAAATAATAAAAGTATTCAATAGATCAACCTGTTTCCAACATCTGACTTTCCTATTATCTTTAATTTCCCGGTTATTTCCCAATTTAATCATACTCGCTGCTGATCTTTCAGACACTTTGCAAGTGCTTCCCCAGTGTGTCTCCTCCCTGTCCAGCAGAGTTCTCCTTATAAAGAATATACTCAGGAGGTTTGCAAGTAAAGAGCGGGGTTTAAAAAAAAAACAGGAAAAATAAATCCATCTTTCCACGGCAAACATTTTGAAACTATTAATAAGGATAATAAATTTTAAATTAAACAATCTGTGAGGCAGAAAACTACAAATACAATTTAGTTACCTCTTAAATGCCATTTTTATTACTCAAAGGCTGCTTTTATCAGTACCAATGAATTCCAACACAATGAGTTATGCTGGATGTAACTTTTCAGCAAATCTTAATATTTATATTTATAGAGAATCATATCATTGCAAAAAAAATTTTTGTGTAGGCTCTCATTAACTTGTAAGCAAGATACTGTTTTAGACAGTAAATAGACCACATCAGTTAAATGGACACCTGCAATTGCTAGCAAAGATTCCCAATATACATTACTCTTACTAATGTGGAGAGACAACTTGGTGCGCACTATGTTTTCCATTCTAGTTAGTTTATAAAATAAACTGACGTTTTATAAACTATCCAATAGAAGGTACATAACTTAAAACATCCTATAGAAATAACGTGTTATCAGTAATTTACAATTAAAAAAAAACTCAGCCACACACAAAAAAAATCCAAGCTAAAAACAAGGTATTTTTTACCATGAATCAGTGCTTCTATTACCCTTCTGAAAGAAGTTATATTTTAATGTGATGTAAAGGCAACATTGAGTTTTTCTTTAAATTAACCACCTAATTTATCCCTAAAATGACAAAGAATCAAAGTCTCTTACAGATCGAGTGCAGTAAACTAAAACGTCCCTTCAGCACAAAGCAGCACTAGAGAGAGTAACAGGTAGAGATGGAAGCGGACTAGCTTTGCTGTGGCTGCTCCATCAATAGCAGACGGACATCAGACGGCATCCGCCCCAGAGCACAGACACAACTACAGACTAGATGCGAAGAAGGCGTCACACTCCTGGCAGATTAAATGTCTTTGTCTTTGAATTGTTCTGGTTTGAACGAAGTGGATTTCCTAAAAGTTTAAATCAGGTCACATAAGTTGAATGCTTAAATAACATCATGATGAGGTATGAAAACTCTGAATATCCCTAACATTCAGCAGGATTTCCCAGAGATGTGTAATAGCTTGTCAGGGGCAACTTCCAAATAGTTTGTACTTTGGGGTTATAATGAATTCTGTAAGAAGACAAGTCTAAAAAGGTTTACAGGCTATACTCTTGAGCAGAAGTGAGCAACTTTTCCTTCAAAATCCATTTTCCACAGCACATCAAAAATCTTCTCCGGTGGTGCGTTCCAACATTGAGTCATGATGACCATCTAGCATCGAGACGTCGTAGTGAACTCAGCTGCAGCTTTCATGGCAACCAAGCTTGTTTTTCATTCCAGTGCAAGCACAAGTGTGGATCACTGCACACAGGATCGGAGGCGTCATTTGCAGGTACAGATTGCAGTCATCGCTAAATGAGCCAGAAGGTGGGAAACTTATTTTATTGGGAGTGGAGGCGGGCACTTCAAGTAGAAAATAAAATGATTAGGGGGGGGGAAGGGATGCTTATAAAGAAAAAGATCGCTTTCCTTATATAGGTTAGGAGGTCATACCGAGAAGATGATTACTGATTTAAGAAAGAGATGCCATGTTAAAGGGATCGTGTATGCAGCATGGAGACATTAGAATCAAGCTGCTCTGGGCTAAGAAAAGCAACCCTTGCAAGTGTGTATTACCCACATTCAGAGAGGGAAAAGCACCAAGGGTGAACTCCAATTGCTGAGGACCTTGATGATCAGGACCACAAAGCCTGAAACAGTTGCTGTAATGCAGAAACAGCCTCCTGGCACAGACTGACTGACTTTGGAGAGACAGGAGTTGTTTTTGTTTTGTTTTGTTGGCTTTAAACTGAATTACAATACAGATTTTGATTTCTAAGGACCATAAATCTTCATACCAGTATTAGAACTGAACCACTTCCAAGTCAGACACGTCAGACCAATGAGAAGCAACAGTAATACAAATATGTGCCCCACGTGTCTGCTCTGGGGGAATCTGCAAGCCAGTATCACATTTATAAGAATCAAAGTGTTCATTCTTCAGCATTCCTGACTACTAGAAAGCACATTCACTGAAGGCTGAAGGTGAGGGAGAAGATGGTTTAACTTTATCTGTGAAGAATGGCGCCAACCGAAGGGACAAAACCATCCAGTCTCCAGAAGGATTAATGCAAAACTGGCTGAAAAAAGCCACCAGGTAATCCGAGGGTTCACTGTGGAAGAACGCATGAAAAGTACTCTGAAGAATACACAACAGGTCTACACATCTCGCTTGCTGCAAGTAGTAGTGTGAAATTCAAGGTAAAGGTTTAGTCTCATCTTTTATTAGCAGTATTTTTCCCACTTTAAAGGGAATGAGGAGTCCTCTCTTTTCCCCCACAAAAAAGGGAGCCAGATTAATATAATTGTATATTCCCATGACTCATATATAAGTGCGGATCTCCAAAGCCTAGGGATTTTCCTCAAGACAGTGGGCCATCCTGGTTACCCTCTTATTAGTAGGATATTCCACCACAGAGAGCCAAAGGTTTTCCAGATGTGTTTAAGAGAGCAGGTGCGCAAGGCAAGCAAATGAGCGCAAACAGTATTACGGAAAACGTTTGAAAAGTTAGCTCCATGAGGACTGTGGGCTCCACAAGAGGACTTGACTAGGCGGCCAGGTCTGACACAGGACCATGGAATCAGGACTGCTTCAGAGCTGGAACCCTTCCATAGGGGCCTCACACTGCTGGAAGATGTACTGCTGCTGGCTAAGGTCAACCTGAGGCGCGATGCTGCTGTCTTCGTCTTCGGTCCCGAAGTAATGCTCAATGAGATCAAAGGCTTTCTGGTAGATCTCCTGGTTTTCATGACTTTGCAAAAACTCAATTTTATCCAGACCTGGAATGAGAAACAAGGAGGGGAGAATAAGAGGATGGTTGGAAATTTCAATAAGAGAGTTATTCTGTCAAATCTCCTTCCTTGATGTAAAGAAAGGTTCTCCACTTGTTTTGAAGAACATAGAAATCACTGCTGGGATTGCAGCTGAAGGCTAGTATTACAAACTGACGTTTTAACCCAGAAGAAAACAACATCTAGGCTCCACGTACCTAGCTTCTGAGTTAGACAGTATTGTACTATATTCCCTAAAATAAGAATCAACTTCCATTACTGAAACTAAGAACTCAGACTACATCCCCTTTACTAGTAAGTTTAGGTCCACCTGTGCTAGTCCTTCTTTGCACCCAGAGACAACTATTACACTTACCCACGAGAGCAAAAAATATTAAGAATTTTCAGAAGAAAAATGAAATATATACATATTAAAAATATACACATCAAAATAGTTATCCTTGTGGAGAAAGATATCTGAGCAGTAGAGTACCACTGATAAATATATTTCTCAAAAAATTTTATACTAAGCAGATTTCTTTTATTACTATTAAAAGGTTTTTTAAAAAGGGTAACTGTCAAAATCATTTTGGAAAACAAGTCTGTATCATCTAGTAAATTCAAAGATGGACATATCCTGTAGCCACAATTCCAACAGGGAATAAAGAAACCCTAATGCAATGTTTTCAATCCAGCTACATGTTAAAATCACTTAGAGACTTTGTTTTTTAAGTAAACGCTTTAGTAAATGAATGTCTGAAAGTGGAACTGAGACTGAAACTCGAATTAGGGGATGAAAAATGACAGAGTGATTCTTTAAGGTGACGTGCTCAGTCCAGACATAAAGGAAATGGAGGCAGTCAAGTAAAGGTCGAGACGGATATTCCCGGATAAACCAAAATTGATAATACAAGAGTGGCCACAAGGAAAAGTAGTGTCAAGGCATTGGGAAGACCTCAAGAGTGGTGTAAAACTAACCAAACAGAGGTGCTGGCTTCTCTTCACAAATAAGAAAACAATGTTTTATAAGAGTATGGTATCCAGATGTGGAACAGTAAAAAAAAAACGGAAAAATACAAAATATAAGGGAAGTATATTATTATGCTTTTCTGTAAATAACAAAGAATTTTATGTACTTGGGGCGGGGAAAGTGCAAACCTCCCACCACCTCCTCGATATATTTCCATATACAATAAACACTATCTTACCATAAGCTTCTTCAATCAAAGCACAGTAAGGGTTGATCCCAGTGCCATTCCTTTTGGCTTCTTGTTCTCCGAGCCTCAGGATATTTTCCAAGCCATTGAGGGCAACCTGTACAATCTTAGAGTCCATGACTGTAAGAAGATCACATAGTGGCTTGATACAACCCAATTCCACAAGGTACCTAATTAAAAAAAAGAAAAGGGAAAAAAAAGAATGTACTCCAACTTTTGTTGTTTTGTTTTTTATTGCGTTGGTCAAGAGAGTCATCCTCAAATACATCTTCAGAAACCAGTTCTCCAGAAGCATCTCCATTCCTTGTCCCCACCCCCATTTGGGGGGCTCCAAGAGACTAGAATATTCTCCTACTATAATACCAAGTATGTGGTCAATGCAAGTTTCTCTGACTGCCTTTTAAAATAATATTTTGCTTGTTTGAATCACAATTCACATGAGGCTTACAAGTTACACTTGAACTTTTTTGGGGGGAGAACTCTTAGTTTTCTTAAAACACCCCCAATCATTCTGTCAAACACCTGTTAAAACATTCTGTCAAAACTGTTTTGCAATTTACATGTGTTAAGAAGTTGGTTTTATCCTCTGGTTTCCTAGAGTTTGGATTTTATGCATTACCATTTAACAAACTGCCCTGTGAGCTGGATCTCCTCTAAACTGGTAGACAAATTCAGAGAGTTAATCAGATTCAAGTCATAATTGGAAAGGCTGTTTCATGGGTGAAGAACCCCAAGAGTCCTCTATTTGTCCTTGGGGAATATACTATTCCTAACATTCCTTAGCTGATTATCCACCTCCCTCATTAATTATTTGCTTACCCCTAGATACAGCTTACGTAACAGGGTAAGATAAAGACGGACTGTAACTCTTTTAGAAAATAAGGCATCGCTGGCAACTGCTCCATGTTTGTTTGCCGTGGTGGCACAATGAGTACTGTGCTGCTAACCACACGGACAGCAGTTTGAATACCAGCAGCTCCGCGGTGGAAAGACGAGGATGCCTGCTCTGCTCTACACAGGAGGTATGAGTCAGATTCGAGTTGATGGAAGCTCCCGTGAACCCTCTAGGCTACAAGAGGCAGCTCAACTGCTATCCAGGTCCTACGTCTGCTGGAACACTACTGTCAAAGTTCTGGAAAAAGACATTGTATGCTGCCAAAAGAAAGTTTTTAGCAAGAGATCAAACTGTTCTTGTTATTGTGTGTATAAAGCTTAAAATAAGTTTCCTACTAATTCTTGAACAGTCCCAAAATGTCCTTCACAAAAATGTAGCCCCCAGGCTAGCTCACTGACCTGCAAAACACACTGGCAGGTTTTGTGGGGAGGGAATTTGACTACAAGAATGCATTTCTTCTTTTCTCTTCAAAATCATTTTACTGGGGGCTCATCCAGCTCTTCTATCACAATCCATACTTACATCCACTGTGTCAATCAAGCACATGTGTACATTTCTTGCCACCATCATTTCCAAAACATTTTCTTTCTACTTGGTATCAACTCCTCCTATTTTTCCCTCCCTCCACCGAAAAACGCATTTCCTAGACAGTGACCCAGACAGTTTTCTAAAACGCTAGCAATGTGCCAAGCTTAAAAGAACCAATTTGATAGGTAATTTTTTGGAGGGGTGGGGTTACTTATGTTTATTAACATAGAACTCACATACTATATAATTCAATGTTTTGATTTTTTTTTAAATTATGCGATCACCATAATCAATTTTAGAACATTTCATTTAATTTTGTACTCATTTTTAACTCGTTTTGTCACCATCCCTTAACATAATCTAAGATACTCTTAATCTAGTTATCTCTATATATTTAACTATTCTTTGTTTCATATAAACTGTACAAACACACACATACACACACGCAACAGCAGCAAAATACAGAAAAACCTCAATCCCCCCAAAAAACAGAAAATAAAACTAGAAAAAATTAAAAATGGGTGTAAAGGGGAAAATGATAAGATGTTAAAATTTAACCAAACTGGACGTCAGAGTCAAGATGTCGTCAGGTAGAATCACCCGCCTGGAGCTCTGGTGCTAAACCAGATAATTAACGAGAAGCATGGGAAGCAAGCCTGAAGAGAAAGCAGCAAGACCAAAGGTTATGGAGGGACTTAGGGGGAGAAGACAGCGGGGAAAGGGAGCCATGAACACACAATGTTCTCCATACACAGGAGAACAAGTAGGGAATTAAAATCAACTAAGAGGAGGACACGAGAGATCCTGGGGCTGTTGGAGCAACAGCAATTTAGCTGAGGTATTACTAAGAGGCAGGAGAAGGGAGAGCGTGATGGTGGGGCAGGAGGAAGGTAAAGGGAAACAGGAAAGATCTAGGAAGCAAAGCTATGAACATAGGTACAAATATAGTGTATACATATGTAAATATATTAATTCATAAAAGTGGTATTGGCTTATGTACATAAACTTATGTGGCAATATATTGAGGAAGTGGACGGACTATGGGCCTCTGCTCAAGCCCTCCCTCAATGCAAGAACACTTTGTTCTAATAACCTGGCATTCTGTGATGCTCACTCTCCCTGCACAACAGCACAACAAAATGAGAGTACAACCTTGCAGTTAGCAGCCCAACACAAAACCAGTTTTCAGTTGTCTCAGATCATGTAAAAGTTAAACAATAAACTAGGAATACTGAAGAAGAATCATTGCACTTTAATTATGGTGCTGGCAAGGAGTACTGAGAAGTATCATGGACTGCCAAAATACTAAACAGACCTATCTTAAAGAAGTATAGCCATTGTAGGATACCCACCTTCCCAACAGGATTGCTGAAGACAAAATGGGTGCATACGCAAAATGTGGTGAAGAAAGCTGATGTGCCAAGCTACCAAATGATACGGCACCGGGGGTCTTACATGCTTGAAGTTAAACAAGCAGCTATCTAGCAGAGGAAAAACAAAACCCACATGGAAGAAGCATACCAGCCTGTGTGGTCATGAGGTGTCGAAGGGAATAGGGATAAGAAATTTAAAAACAAGCAATCAAATTGACATGAAGGAACGTAGACAAAAATGGAGACCCAAAACCCAACTATCATTGGACAGTCTGAAGGACCACATGGAAGGGAAAATGTAGCCAGGGTGCAATATAGCATGGATGAAACACAGAACATCCTCTAGTTCTTTAATATCCTCACCAAGCCCTTACTATTTATTATGGTCTTAGTTTCACCTCACTTATCTTGTGAGACCTATATATGTTCATCTGTATAATTAAGGTCATTCACTGCATGAAATCCAAGAAGACAAACCCTTCAGAAATAGTAATGGGAGCGATTCCCTGAAGATATGGGAAGGTGGGTGAGAGGGGGGAGAATGAGCAACAGCACTGATGACTAGATAACCCCACTCAAGGGGAACAAATGACTTAATTGTAGGTGAACAGATACACTGGATGGTGTAAGACACAGAAATTAATAGTATATAATAATAAGGGTTCCTAGAGGGATATGGTGGGGAGGGAGGGGATAAAGAGGAGCTGATATCAAAGAGTTTAAGAAAGAAAATGTTTTGAAAATCATGGTGGCAGCAATTGTACTATTATGCTTGATCTGATTTAATCGCAGATTTTTATATCTGTAAGAGCTCCCAATAAAATGATTTTTTAAAAGTATAGCCAGAATGCTCAAACAAAAAATTAAATTTAACCACACTATATCTGCATTAATTCTCTTTCTGATGCATTCTGTCTGATGGCAAGACAATTACAATCCTTGGTCAATGGTCTTAGGGAACCCACGTGGAGACTGCAAATGGATTTTGGGCTTTCATTGTCATCCATAACCTTCTACAAACTGGGTGCTCAGAATAATACAATCCCTCCTCTGGTAAATTATTTGCAAACCTTGGATCATACAGGCTAGTATGCTTCTTCCATCCGGGTTTAGTCAACATCTCACTTAAATAACTGTTTATCTTAAGGCACGCTTTTAAGACCCAGAGGCAAATCTTTCGGATAGCAGGGCATCATCTGCTTTCTTCACCACCTTTTGCTATAGTACCCATATATTCAGTAATTCCATCTTCAGGGTTAAATTTGATAGGTAATTTGATACCTAAACATCCCTTTAAGAAAGTTATGAAGCTGTCTAGCTAGATAAGATAGGTGAGATAAACAATCCAGAGGAGAAAACAACAGGACCAACGGTTCCGGGGTGACATAGGAAAGAGGGAGGTGGGGAAAAGGAAGTAAGTGTTAACAAACCCAGGGACAAAGGAACAACAGGTGAACTAAAATTGATCACGAGGAGGGTGTAGGAGGTCTGGTAGGGCTTAGTCAAGGGCAATGTAGCCAATAGGCATTACTGAAATCCAAATGCAGACGGAACATGATAGTGGGACAAGAGGAAAGTAAAAAGAAATAGAGGAAAGAACTAGGAGACAACGGGCATTTACTAAGGTCTAAATATAGGCACGTACATATGTAAATATACTCATGTATGACTATGGGGAAATAGATCTATGTACATATATTTTTAAGTTTAGATTAATATTAAGGCAGCAGACAGACATTGGGCCGCTACTCAAGTACTGTCTCAATGCAAGAACATTTTGCTCTATTAACCTGGCATTCCATGATGCTCACCTTCCCAACACAATCACTGAAGAAAAAGTGGGTGCATAAGCAAATGTGAAGAAAGTTGATGGTGCTCAACTTTCAAAAGATACAGCATCTGGGGTCTTAAAGGCTTGAAGATAAACAAGCAGCCATCTAACTGAGAAGCAACAAAGCCTACATGGAAGAAGCCTATTAGCCTGTGTGATCATGAGGTGTCGATAAGATCAGGTATCAGGCATCAAAGACCCAAAACAAAAAACTGTATCATTGTGAATGAGGGAGAGTGTGGAATGGAGACCCAAAGCCCATATGCAAGTAATTGGACATCCCCTTACAAAAGGGTCACATGGAGATGAGCCAGTTGGGGTGCAGTATAGCACCAATGAAACATACAACTTTCCTCTAGTTCTTGAATGCTTCCTCCCCACCACTATCATGACCCCAACTCTACCTTACAAATCTGGCTAGATCAGATCAAGTACACGAGTACAGATAAGAGCTGGAAACACAGAGAATGCAGGACAGATTAAACCCCTCAGGACCAATATTGAAAGTAGCCATATCAGGAGGGTAAAGGGAAGGTGGGAGGAGAAAGAGGGAACCGATCGCAATGATGTATCTATAATCCCCTCCCAGGGGGATGGACACAGAGAAGTGGGTGAAGGGAGACATCGGTCAGTGTAAGACATGATAAAATAATAATAATTTACAAATTATCAAAGGCTCATGGGAGGAAGTGGGGGAAGGTGGGGAAAAAAATAAGAAGCTGATACCAAGGGCTCAAGTAGGAAGAAAATGTTTTGAAAATGATGATGGCAACAAATGTACAATGTGCTTGGCACAATGAATGAATGTATAGGTTGTGATAAGAGTTGTACAAGTGCCCAATAAAATAATTTTTTAAAAAAGAAATTATGAAGCAGCTGCTAGGTTTGCTGTTATAAAGAGCTATGTTGACTTTCAAAGAGATAGCAGCCATTCCACGCTTCTCTAGCAGAGTAAACTTCTATTTTAAATGTTCCTAATTTTTAAAGATAAAACTTCAAAACAAAAATATGTAGAGTTTGATTTCAATTAAGAAAGCATTAATTGGTATAAAATGTAGGGGCAATTAATAATCATACATCTGAGTTTGAAAACAATGCTGAAAAATAAAGTATTATTCCTTCAGATCACTGCCATCTGGAGGTGACATCATTAGAATCATAAAGTCAAACTCACTGCTACCGAGTAGAACCCAACTTCCATCGGCCTGACAGGACTATGGTTTCTCAGACTGCAACTTTAGATGGCGTAAAAAGCCTCATCTTTCTCCCATAGAGCAGCTAGTAGTTCAAACAGCTGACCTTGTGGTTAGTAGCCCGACGAGTAAAACTCTCTATGCCACCATGGTGCCAAACTTAGAATCACAAAACCCCAGAAACAGAATCTTGAGAAACTGAAAACAGAACAAAAATAACCTACTTGCAGATGTGGTTCTAAAGCCCTTCTAGAATCACTGAATTTACTGAAATAGCTGTTGAATATGTCAATCTTGATGTTAATCTAAGACTGTTGAATATATATTTATCCTCTGTACCTCGAACAATTAGCTACAATCTGTTATGCCTTCTTGACCTTATATAAAATTCCAAACAGCAATCAAAATGGTCACTTACTGAGTGTCTATATCATGTCAGGCACTTCTACACAATCTTTATATTTTTCTCCCCCCACCCACCTAATCCACAAAACAACATTGAGAAACAACAGCTTCCCTCGTGTTATCTAAGACTTGGAGGGGTGTTAATGATTCAAAACTATCCCCACGTGGATTTATTTCCTATAAGGAAGTTTAAGGCATAAGAGTCTAGGTTACATTCTTTCTTCCTTGTTAGTCTATTTTTTTATGGAACCACTCCTGCCGGCTGACGTTGAGGACAAAGTCCAGCGACAGATGGCCCGACTTCAAAGAAGTCGGACTGTAGGAATTGGTTGCCGAAATCCGCTCACAAATTGTTTTGTTGCTGCCGCTATGATATTCTGGAGTATGTTTATGTTTTACCCCAAACCATGTAAAAATGAAACCATTATTGCCACTATGAGCAATAATGAGACCACGATGAATAATTCAGGGGAAATCACAGTACCCATTAAGAGAAGGGAGGCAAATGATAGAATGACTGAGTTAATTATCAAAGCCATACAAGGGAATGAGGATTTTGGTATATTTATGGGAAAATGCAAAAGTTAGAATTGGAACAACCCCAACAGTAACTCCCGAGAAGTTCCCTGTGACTGCCCTTCTGGGAAAGAGTGCCAAAGATAAGAAACAACCCTTGATTCACTCAGTAGAACCCCTTAATAAATTTGCTTATAGTAAAGGGGACAGTAATGAAAAAACTCCTAAGACTGCTCTCCCTCCTTTGGATTACACTGGCATTTATGACGACAATGGAGAACATATTATTGAGGTAAATGGGAAGCATGTAAAAATTTTAACCTTATATTTATGGAAAAGAATAAAAAGGGGTGGCCCAGTTTGGTGTGTTAGATCTATTGAAGACGAAAAAAGGTGTACAAAAATGTTATTACAGAGTGGATTGTGTAGATGGTGCATAACGGAAACAAGAGAACAGTGGAAGTCCGATTGAAAAGGCAGGTAAAAGAAATGGAACGAAGGCTTAAAGAACGTAAAATTGATGAAGTATAGAAAGAATAATTAGCTAACTTAGACCTTTGTAGACTGAACTTTCTATTTTAAGTTCATGCCAATTTTCTCCTATCTACTTCCTTGAACTTGAACACTGTTTGGCACCATTACCACAGACCTATTTCAAGAACCATTCATGTCTACGGTTAATCACAACGTATGTTGGTCAAGATTGAAAACTTAAATGAACCAGTCACCCAGAAAGAACGTTCCGAGAAGATTTAAACAGAATGCCCTGGAAAACTTTATACTTTGCACCTTTTATTATTAGAATTTTTTCTTTCCGTTTTGATGGTATGATTGTCAGAAAATATTGTTTAAATAGAACCTTAAAATTGTAATAAAGCAGCAGATGACCACTGACTCCTGACTGCTCATCCCTCTCGCGTGACGCCTTACCCACCGAACAGGGGACCCCTCACCCGGCCGCGGCTGGACCGCGGCAATTTTTCGATCAGAAAAAAAGAATGTCCAGACTGTACTCTTAATTAAAAGGTAAGTCAAAGTTAAGTAAGTACTCCTATATTAAATCCTTATCAAATAAAAATATCAAAATGTGTAGCTACTGTATCTCAAAGTATCCTCCATCTTGGTCTATGTAATTCTGAGAGTAGTTTCCCCACTTTTCTAACCCTGCCCTGAAAAATTCTGTGATCTTCAATCTGTACATCCCAAAATGGCAGTTTTGGCACCCATAAAGGGCTCAAATTGTGTTCCTTTTAAGTGTTCTTTGGTTTTTTTCACCAATGCAGTTTTCTATTTTCTTAAAGCTTCTTCACAATATGTCACTTGAATCATCCTGTGTTGAGAAAAATCTACCAAGATTAACCCCTTGGAATACCATCAACCAGTCACCATAATCCCCACCCCACCCCCACCCACCCCCCGCCCCCGGCCTCTCTCCCTTGAATTTAACTGGTCCAAGTATATCCCCTGCAAAGCCCCTTTTTCCACTGGGCCTTGCTCTCTGGATCATATATAGGGAAATCCAAGACTTGTCCTCTGTTATGATCTCTTCCATAAAATCATTATTAGCTTTGATCCTGTTTAAAAGAACGGATTAAAATACCAATGCTTTTGGCACCCATCCAGCCAAATCTTGCTGAGGCCATGGTATTTACTTAAAACTGAAATGAGAATAAACCATGAGATTCCAACTTCAGTCATAGTATATCATATAAATGACAGAAAGTTTTCTTCCACCACGTCTTTGGACTTCAGCCAGTTTCTTCATTTGCCAAGGCTAATGGTTCTCTCTCTCTTGGTTAATCTTTGAGGTCTTCCCAACCTCTTTAAAATGTTATCTTTTTATTATAAGGCAACATTCCCATAAATTATTGCAAAGCTTCTATGATTTGGGGAGATCTCCATATGAGTTTTGTTAAAATTTTGGTATTAGCCCTGACCTCAAAAAACATTTATCTTTCCCCCCCTACATAGAGCAAAAAAATATCCTTTTCGGTTTTTTTTAAGGCACCAAGGTTAAGAGAAGTACATTATTGATAGAACTTGTTTGTAGGCATCCACTGATGAAAGGTTTGTTTGAACATGGTTTGGATTACATTCTTGCAAGTATGACATGGAAGGAACTCTAGTAGCAATACTTTTTAATTTACCCTTATATATGATGTCTCTTTGGGGAACTCATTTCTGTTTACATTTATATCTTCTCTAGCCATTAAGATTTTAGCTGTAGCAAGGGGGCCATGTAAGTCTCAAATCAATATATATCCCTCCCTTTACTGAATGACACTTGCTTATTTGGGTTTAGTACAGTATTCTAAGACATACCTCTGTTTTAAAGTCTGAGCCAATGCTATTACTAATACTAAACCCACTAAACTAGAAATAGTAAGCACTAACTATTACAGCTGAGTTTTACAGATTCTATAAGCAATCTTGTAGACTACCAGGATGTGTCTGACCAAGGAGCTCCAGAGCAGGCTGGAGCCACTCTGTATGTATTTCCATCACTGCAATCTTCAACTATGCCTTACTTCTTACACCCCAGGATCATTTTCAGAAGAAGCAAAGAGAGAGGTGTAAGGAATTAAATACACTCTTGAGACAAGTTCAGGAGAAAGACTAGGTTTTGTACTTTCATAAAGAGAACCGTCTCAGAAATCCACAGGGGCAGTTCTTCTTAGAGTATAGTTGTTAGGACACTACCTGGGGCTAAAACTTACTTGATCTGTTCAGCAGATCCTCCAGAAGTTGCATTTGTTATGGCCCAAGCAGCTTCTTTCCTTGTCCGAAACTCAGCAGTTTGTAATATAGTAATAAGGGCTGGAAAAATGTTGGCATCTATCACAGTCTGAAATTAAGAAAAAAATAAAAACAAGATTTGTTTTAAAAACTTCATATAACTCCCAGGATAACTTTACTACTGACACCATCCCCTATTTTAAAAAGGATCACCATGCCTAACTTTCAGGCTTAACTCTGTATCACTCTTTCTACAGGCTGTGAACTCATGACTTAACATCCATTAAAATTAGGATTAAAAAAGATGCAGACTATGAAGCAAGACAACAATGTTGGAAACTAGGAATCTTCAAAGTAAGAATGGAAAAAGTATTTTTTTTAATTGTTTTTTAAAAAATAGAAAAATCCCTCTAGTTCTTAAACACTTCCTCCCCCAAACTACCATGACCCCAATTCTACCTTGCAAACTTGGTTAGACCAGAGGATGCACAGCGGTACAGATGGGAACTGGAAACGCGGGGAATCTAGGGCAGATGAACCCCTCAGGACCAGCAGTGACAGTGGCGATACCAGGAGGGAAGGGGGGGTAGAAAGGGGGAATCGATCACAAGGATCTACACATAACCTCTCTGGGGGATGGGCAACAGAAGGGTGGGTGAAGGGAGATGCCAGGCAGTGTAAGATAAGATATAATAATAATTTATAAATTATTAAGGGTTCATGAGGGAGAGGGGAGGGGAAAAAAGGAAAATGAGCTAATTCCAGGAACCCAAGAGGAAAGCGAATTTTGAGAATGATGAGGGCAACAAATGTATAAGTGTGCTTTACACAATTGATGTATGTATTGTGATGAATTGTATGAGCCCCAATAAAATGATTTTTTTTTAAACAGAAAAATCTTAAGACTGAAAGATTTATCAATAAAAATACAGAATAAAAAGAGAGAGATAAACACAGACACAAGGGTTCTAAGATTACCTGAATCTACACAATTGATCTATGTATTGTGATGAATTTTATGAGCCCCAGTAAATTGATTTAAAAAAAAAAAAAAGATTACCTGAATCTGTGCCCTATTTCCAGCTGTGATATTAGAAATTGTCCAACATGCTTCTTTTTTGATAGATTCCTTTGGGCTACTCAGCAAATGCAATAAACTTTGCAGAGCTGAGCAATTCAAAATCACCTAAAAAATAAGTTTAAAAATTAAAGGTATTGTGTTGATCCAAATATAACTAAACCTTTAACTCAGAAGACACAATTTAGGGAAAATGTAGACAAAGAAATAGTACCTCTACTTAGTTTCAGAAACATTAACTTTACATAGGGGTAAAAAAAGATTTATTGCTATGAAGAATAAAAGAGTATTAAATTGATTTCACTACAATGCTAAAATTGCACTTAATACGGTATAATAAAAATGTTAATATTAGTAATTAGAACAGAGTTACCCATATTCCTATCCCTGCAGCATTAAAATGTCTTTTGGATGGAGATATATATGTATGTATCTCAAATGGCCAGAAACAAAAGTGATCTGAGATTTCTCAGTCAACAGATTAGCTCTGTGCGTGATCGTCAATGACGTTCTTTCTCCCTGCCAGAGTCAAGACGACGACTTGCTGAAACACTGTAGGACAGCAGAACTGCCCCTCTAAGTTTCTAAGATTGCTAACTCTTCATGGGCGTAGAAAGTCCCATCTTTTCCCTTGAAGTGGCTATTGGTTTCTAACTATGAACCCTGTGGATTGCAGCCCAGTGTGTAACCACTAAGCCACCAGGGCTCCCCCACACAGTTGATAAGGACAAAGATGAAAAGGATATGACCCCAGCTTACAAAGGGAGGAGACAAACAAGGAGGACACACTCTCCAGACAATAACACCACAGTGACAGGGATTAAAACAGTGAGTTCAAGTGTCGATCAATGTACAAAAGAAGAGTTATCCAGCTTGGAAACAAATGTATTTATAAAGATCTTGTATTATTACAGTTAGCCCTTTATTCTTCCAATGACTAGCGGTTTTATTTAATAGACAGTACAAGAATAAGGGATAAACTAGTTGAAAACTGAAGACAGTCTTAGTACACAACTCACTCAAAAAAAAACTCATTCCAACACAGTGACCCTATGTGACAGAATGGAGCTGCCCCCTATGGGTTTTCCAAGACTGTAAGTAAATAAGTGATCAAAATGGTTAAGGCATAAAAACAATGAAAGAAACTATACTGAGAAAATTAAAATGTAACCAATTTACATTTTTGCATGTCAAAAAACCTAAGAAAATAAAAATGCACACACCCTTATGCCAGCATATAATGGAGTTACTAGCTTTAATATGCAAGTTCATAAGACACTAATATTTTAATAAAAGATTATTTCATGAATCAACATTTATCCTACATGAGGTAGGTGGTCATGGAAGCTAAGCAAGCAGAAGTGCAAACAACTAGAATGAGAACGAGAATGTTCACCCACAGTCAAAATTTTAACCAACCTCACCGAACAGTATGCATGGAAATTATTAAATGGGAACCTAACTTGCTGTGTAAGCTTTTACCAAAAGTAACGCATTAAATTGCAAAAAAATACTGGAAAACAAAAACCTGCCTGCTCCAAAAAAAAGCAGTGGAAAACACAGGTAACCCAAAATTACTACAAGTAACAGGTCAATACAGAGAGGCCAAAGTCACTGGGCGTACCTCGTTATACAAAGGGGCATCAAAAAGTACGCACACAATGGGAACTACAAAGATAATGGAATTGTCCATGAACTTTTGGAAGCCCCTTCCTATAAACCACCACTTAGAACACACTATGAGATAAAAGTGCTAATCAATTCCCGCTAATAACATATAACTAAATATCCTAATAGCTGTATGACCATGGAGGATCTAGCTGTTTTTGAAGAAAAAAAATAACATTGATGCATACCTGTGTCTGAATATCATCCCCTGTGACAATGTTTCCCACAGCCCGCAGAGCAGGAGAAACCACTTTGTAATCATTATGCCTGTAACCACAAAAAGAAATGTTACATTTGGACAGTTTCACCCTTAGCCTCTTTTCCTTAAAGCTGAAAAGCAAAAGGAAATCACGAAAGAACTTCTGAGCAACAAGGTACCCTATGGTGGTTACTAAGGGACTCCAATCACTCTGCTGCAATGTTCCCCAAAACCAAGAAGAGCTAGTTTTCCCCTTTTTCGATATTTCTGGATTTAAAACTACAATTCTTGCCTAGTAATCTTTTCTAGAGTTGTCCCCAATCTTTAACAGAGGTCTCATTTCCTTTTTACTCGGTACTCTATGGTTCCTAAGACAATGGAGAGAAATTATTAACTCATATATTGCATAAGCTGTCAGAGAAGTAAAAAACAACGTATCAACAGGTGAACTAACTTGTAAATGAAGGCTAGGTCCCAGGACTTAAATAATGAACTCCTCCTACTAAAACTCATTTCCCTAACTGGTCAAAAAGCTCCACAAATCTCTTTACATACTTGAAGACCAATACTATTAGTTTTGCTTTCAGGTTCATTAAGTCAATATCCTTTAACGCCTCCCATTTTCTCTCTGCTTTGTAAGAAGGATCACTTGGTCAAAACAGTGTCAGTTACTTCACATTTATGCTAAGATCTGATGATGGTTAAGTATACAATAATCCATTAACTAAAAAGTACAAAGATTATTTCCCAGAGTGGGAATACTGGAATTCTAGCTCCAACAGCACCATATTGTTTTCACTCACAAGAACTCAATCTGCTGACTGTACTCTGTGACCAGCTATCATCCCAGTGCTGTGTATTCTGTACCTGATCTAATCCACTCCACATGTCCTGTTTGGGCAGCAAGGTCTCCTTGCATCTACTGTGTAGTTACTGCAATTAAATTTCATGTGGCTTATAATTACATCAGTTTCCAGGCTGTCTTCATATTAAATCTAGTTTTTTCTATTACTACCAACAAACCTGATTAACATAGTAAACTGCTTACTCAATAATTAAAGGCATCACAAAGTGCTCTATCAAAAGCAAAGCAAGACACAATGTCTGACACCAATCTAAATTCAACAGCTAAGGAATGACTACTTTTTTGGGGGGGGGTGGGGGGGTGGTATTTGGTATTAGCAGATCAGGGTTTGGCCATCCATTATGAGAAAGCACTACATAAAGTTTTCCTGAAGAAACTGTTACGAATTGCTAAAGAAATGTTAAGACAGAAAAAAGCAAGTTCCAAATAAGTCTCGTTAAAAAAAAAAAAAAAAGATAACAGTCGAAAAAACTAGAAATCTAATCTAAAGCTAAAAGCACAGACACTGTTTATGAAAGATCTCTTACATCAGCAGTTCCACAAGTCTCCTGCACACCCCAGCATCAATGACTGCTTGAATTTTATCATTGGGTCCATCTGACAGATATGAGAGGGCCCAGCAGGCATCAGCCAATACATCGGTGTCACTTACAAACAGCAACCAGGAAAGCACATTCAGACACGGGGAAACCTGTGAAAGGAAATATGTATATTACCTCAACAGAATAAAAGCCAGAAGTAGGGTGGGTTCTCATAAAGAAGGTAGACAGGCATATACCTGGTATTTCATAGGGGAATTAGGGTCCCACAAGTGGCTGCTGAGTGACATGTCCATCAAAATGTTGTCAGTGACCTTTTGGTTTACTTTGACAAAGTAGTCAGAGCATGCAAACAAATTTCAGGAAGAAAAATTTCATAAACACTCATTCTCAAGAGTGATATTCCTTGTCCTAACATACTCTTTTTTTAAAATCATTTTATTAGGGGCTCATACAACTCTTATCACAATCCATACATACATCAATTGTGTAAAGCGCATTTGTACATTCATTGCCCTCATCATTCTCAAAATATTTCCTCTCCACTTAAGCCCCCGGCATTAGGTCATTTTCCGCCTCCCTCCCCGCTTCCCCCTCCCTCATGAGCCCTTGATAATTTATAAATTATTATTTTGCCATATCTTGCCCTGTCCAACGTCTCCCTTCACCCACCTTTCTGTTGTCTTTCCCCCAGGGAGGAGGTCACATATAGTTCCTTGTAATTGGTTCCCTCTTTCCTACCCATTCTCCCTCTACGCTCCCAGTATCGCCACTCACACCACTGGTCCTGTAGGGCTCATCGCCCTGGATTCCCTGGATTTTCAGTTCCTATCTGTACCAGTGCACATCCTCTGGTCTAGCCAGACTTGCAAGGTAGAATTCGGATCATGATAGTGGGAGCAGGGAGGAAACATTTAGGAACTAGAGAAAAATTGTATGGAGGAGACGACCAGTCAGGGGGCGATGTAGCAACAGTGAAAAATACAACTTTTCTCTAGTCCTAACATACTCTTTATAGGTCACCAAGAGAAAGGAACTTCCACAAGTGCAAAAGCAGTTAGATAGAATCTTTAAAATTACAAAATAGCTTTTAAGATTAATTCAAGACTTTGCACAGTGAAAGCATATCTCAAATTAAAACAGACACAACCGCAAAATGCCCAGTTTCTCTAAAACATAATATTCTCACAGTTACCGTATATACTCATGTATAAACTGAGTTTTTCCAGCACATTTTTAATGCAGTTTTTGTGGTAAAATTAGTGCCTCAGCCAATATTCGGGTTGGCTTATACTACAGTATATACGGTAAACGTTTACAGAGTCATTCTTTCTGTTCACATTAAAATTAGCTGTATACTCTTTAGTAGCACCTTTCCTGCCAATTTCCCACAAGCACAATCTTTACCTTTGGAAAGTCTGGAGGTGGACTTTTCCCTCTACAAAGGTTAGACAAAGCCCAGACTGCATTCCGGGTCATGGTCAGGCGGTTTTGCTTTGAAAATAACCTGTATGAGTAAGGTACAAATATTAACTATATAATGAACATTAAATCTCTGATGGCCTAAGAAAAATACTAAACCATTTAATTCTACTGAACAATGGTCAAGCCTCTCTCAGACACTCATCTCCCCAAACAATGAAATGGCATTACTTTCTAACTCCGATAATTCTGGTGTTTGAATGTGACAGGGTACTTACAGAACTTATCTGAGCAAATTAACAAGAACATACCTAGAATGATACAGAACACTAGGAAATCCAAAAAGATTTCCAATGATGCACTGCTGAGGAGCTTCCTATTTTTATTACTCCAGAAACCGATGAGCAGAAGCAGAAAAAAGGAAACTTACTGTAAGAGAGGAGGAAGGATATTGCAGTCTAAAACATAGTCCCTGCACATGGTACTATCTCCAGCAATGTTGCCAAGAGCCCAGACTGCCTGCCAAGAAAAATTTTTATTAATGATTTTCATAATTTACATCATAAAAAAAAAGCCCAATATGGCACAATGGCTCTTTATAAAATTAGATAGCAATTAATCAACATATTACATCAGGACATTAACTGGTACCACTTCTAGTTTGTTCATATTAAAGAGCTCTGGTTGCACTGTGGGATAAGCATTGGGATGCTAACCACAAGGTTAACAGTTCAAAATCAGACACTCCTGCCCAGGAGAAAGATGAGAGTGCCTGTTCTTGTACAGATTTCCAGTACCACAAACCCTATGAAAGATCGCTATGAGACAAAATTGACTCGATGGCGTTTGGGTTTGATTTTCAGTTTGATCAACAGAGTCAAGTAACACTCCTGTGGGATTGAGGGAAGGAAAACTACTAGTATCCTGATATGTACAACAAAAATTTGAGGTTGAATCATGGAATGGTATATCTGTAATAGATCCCAAAAAAATGGTTTTGAAAAAGAAAATTTGAACATTCATGTTAGCAAGATTATTAAAGGGAAGAGCCAGCACTATACATAGTGTCTTTATCTTTCATTCATAAGTAGCATCCCATATAAACCCTTGGTACACAGCAGAAATTCCAATGGCTTAACCAGTCACTTAAATTTGCTTACATGAGAAAATGGTCAACAAAGAATTAAAGGAATCCAAATGCAGATTATTTTTTAAACTTTTGAGAGTAAAATATTTATGAAATTATCTTGATTTGTGGCCATCGTTTCTTGATGCATACATATATTAAACATCAAATTGTAAATAGATAATAGTATACTTGTCAAATGTCAATAAAGCTGTAAAAAAGTCATACTTATTAAGGACTTATTATATTTGTAAATTTGATCAAAGTTGGCATTAAGACGACATGCATGTTTTCTATGTCTTTTTCTGCACCAAAGTTACTAAGACCTGTTCCTTTAATGAATACTAGATAATGCAAGGAGCCCTGATGGCGTCAGCAATTTGAAACGACCAGCTGTTCTGCAGGACAAAGATGAGGCTTCCTGCTCACATAAGTAGTTACAGCCTCGAAAACGCATTTGGGTGGTTCTACCCTGTACTACAGGGTCATTATAAGTCAGAATTGACTCCATGACAGTGGGAGAGATTCCGACAGGAACAGTTTACATGATACAAGAAGGGATATGGATTAAAGAACTTCAGAAGTGGAAGGGGGGAAAGTGGTTACATGTGTCTAGGAGAACTTCTTCTTAAAGTCTCTTTAGAATTTACTACTTGTTTTGATTTCTGGAACATTCCTTGCACTGTCATGGTCAAGTAGTGAAACTTGGGTCCTGAACATAAAGACAAAACGGAAGGATTTCATTCTTTCATCTACTCTTCTGTATATATTTCTTTTTTACCTGTTCCTGGACATCTTCAAATTCTGAGCTGAGCAACTCTATGAAGATGGGCACAGCTCCTGCCTGAATCACAATCCGAGTCTGAAGAGAATTCCCTGAAGCAATATTTGTCAGCACCCAAGCAGATTCAAACTATAAAAATAAAAATAATTTTCATTATTCATTAGGCTTTGTTATCTTCTTTACTTATAGCAACAAAATGTTCTGTACATGAAAAGAAATTATTAGCATAATATTAACATTATTGCTTGAATTCGACACCTTAATTTTTAAAGAATTCCCAGGAGAAACACCTCAGCCTAGAGCTGATGTACAACCATAAAGGGAATGAGGGAGTACTTCACATGATAGGAAATGCTCTTCCAATATTTAATAAAAGAAAAGGAAAACAAGTATACATTTATGATGGGTATCACTATATTTTCTTAAAAGGATTATACACATTACTTACAAATATTTGTTTCTACAGAAAGTCTGAATGATTAGGTAACAAGGGTGAGAAAGACGTTTTCCCTGCAAAGCCTTATGTATCTTGTGGAATTATACCACCCCCACTACCTGATACAAAAAATAAAATTGAATAATTTGTATAAGATGAGCAAAGTGAAATGGGAAGAGTTAAAAATAAAGACATAGTAAAAAGGCAAGAAACTTCAAATAATATACAGACCAAAGGACGTTAACAGGCATATAATTGATTTTTAAAATGCTAATTTCAGTGCATAAGAGCTTCTAATCCATAAGAAGTTTCAAACCAAGGTACAGCAATTTTTAAGATTTTTAAAGGCATATTTAGGGGTCGGAAGAAAGAGGGTACCCTGAGTAAAGGTACACTGTGTAGCATCAGAGCACCGGTACACGTAGATTTTTAAAGGAATTAAGGTCAACAACAACAACCCAAAACCCCAGAATATACTAATTCTACACATCTCTTCAGTAACCTCTTTTGTCTAAGACTGAAAATACTGAGTCAGGGGACAAGCACATTAGAACTGATTGTGTTAACATATATGAAATTCTTTTTACAAGTAATTTAACCAGGAAGTGTATGTGAATACTATATTAAAAAATACTATTTAATAAAAGAAAAGAAACAAAATTTGACCAATGGTTACCATGGGTGAGGGAGAACAAGTTGTTGCTTAGGGAGTGTTATGTACACTGTGCTGGAATAATTTGTAAATGATATCAAGAATGGTTTTATAATACAAAGAGTATCATCAATGCTGAACTATATACATGTAGAAGTTGTGGAATTGGAGAATGTTCTGTTGTATATATTTTTGTCACAATTAGAAAAAAAATATATAGTGGGGAGCGGGGAGGGAGGGGGGCAAATGAGGAGCTGATGCCAGGGGCTTAAGTGGAGAGCAAATGTTTTGAGAATGATGAGGGTAACGGATGTACAAATGTGCTTTACACAATTGATGTAGGTATGGTGATAAGAGTTGTATGAGCCCCCAACAAAATTATTTTTAAAAAAGAAAAAAATTATACAAGTAATAATGAGTAATAGGAAGAAAATGTTCTAGAATTGAATGTAATAATGTATGATATACAGATGATATGCTAATAAAACTTAAAAAAAAGAAAATAGAGTTCAAGAATGAATTTACACTTATATTTAAATAAGATTTCTAAATTTAACTTCTGTTTAGTTTCCTCCTTTTGTCTCTTGAAGTATATATGAATGAAAAAAAAACCATTGGTTTGCCCTTTGAATGAGATCAACAACAACATAAAATCATGAACAGATATAACTGTGACTAAATCATCGCTCATTGGGGAGGGGTGCCTATTTGATTAACACAATCCAAAACTATGAATAATAGCTAGTTCATAGAAGATTCTTAAAGAAGGAAAGTTCAAAGCAATCTATAAACGTTGACATGTGGGTGAAGGAATCTAGTAACTTACTTGAGCACTGATATTAGTGCAACAGAGATACCAAAACTAAGAGCACTATCTAAAAAACTCAAGCTCACTGCCACTGAACTGATGCCCTACAGGGCAGAGCAGAACTACCTGGAGGATTTTCAAGGCTTTAATCTTTGCGGGAGCTAAAAGCCTCCTCTTTCTCCCCAGGAGCAGCTGGTGGTTTCAAGCTGCTGCCCTGGCGGTTAGCAGCCCAACAAGGGACCCACGACACCACCAGGGTTGCTCCAAAAAGTACCTCAACCCTTTACCCCTGGAAAATTTTCACCTTAATAGAAGTTTAAAGGAGGTGTGTTGATAATGCACTAAACATCATGAAGAAAAAACAGCTTTGTAACTACATTTAATAATGAAATACATGTTCAAGTCTCTTACATAGGCAGAGTAGTAAAAACAGTGTGGTACTGTTATAACAATAGATACACAGAGCAATAGAATTGAGAACCCAGAGGTACATTCATCCACCTTCAGAGGTGATATAGGTCAAAAATATATATATTAAATGAGAAGGAGATCATTGCTTTTACAAATGGTACTAGCAAAACTGAGTATACTGGCAGAAGAATTAAACAAGACCCATACCTCATATTAAAAAAAGGAACTCAAGATGAAAAACCTAGAACTTATTTTTATTTTATCATTTTATTGGGGGTTCGTACAACTCTTATCACAATCCATACGTACATCAATTGTGTCAAGCACATTTGTACATATGTTCCCATCATCCTTCTCGACCTAGAACTTATTATAAAGATTTTCAATGAAAAAATATGAACAAACTTAGGAGTCCTAATACATGGCATAAATATACTGTCAGACAAACTGGATAATTGGGACCTTCTAAAATACAGACACATTCATCAAAACATTTCACAAAAAGAGACTTTATTAGCTGGGTAAAAACTTTTGGCAATGATATTATCACACAAGGGCCTAATTCCTAAAACTTACCAGAGAAAATGTTAAAATCTCAACAAGAAAAAGGCAAATAATCCAAGTGAAAATGGGCAGAGGACATAAACAGACACTGCACCAAAGAAGACATTCAAGTGGCCAACAAATGAAGAAATGCTCATGGTCATTAGTCATTCGAAAGATGCAAAAGAAGACAATGAGATATCTATCACCTCACCCTAGCAGCAGTAAGAGCAAATGCTAGCCAAGGGTGCAGAGACTGGAACCCTCATCCACTGCTGGTGGTTCTACCATTGCGGAAAGCAGTATGGAAACAATGACATTAGAGACCAGCAATCCTTCTAAGTTGATATGCAATCCTAGAGAAGCAAGGCACGGCATGAATAGATACAGCACATTCACATTCACCGCAGCACAATTCACAACGTCAAAGAGTGATACAGCCTAAATGCCCAGCAGTGGACGAATGAATAAACCCTGGTCCTTAGACACAATGGACACTATGAAACCCTAAGAGAAAAACGACGAACTCTTGAAGCACCTCACAACATGGATGTATCGAAGGACAATATGCTAAGTGAAATTAGGCAAGCACAAGAGGGCAGGTGTTATATGAAATTATTATAAAAAGTCAAGAACGGGTTACCAAGATGCTTATGGCGTAGGAAGGGGAGGAGAGGCCGTGGTTAGAGCAGAGGTGGGAAAACTGCTGGTCTGCGGACCAGATTACGCAATGCTGACTCATAGCAACCCTACAGGACATGGCAGAACTGACTTGTGAGCTCTCAGGATTGTAACTGTTCATGTGAATACAAAGCCCCATCTTATAAGGCCCACAAAATCATCAATACCAGCCCATATCACATGTCTCACCAAAGAGAAGCAGTTCCAGCCATCACATTAGGGTTAAGTTCATAAAATGACCAGTATGGCCCATGGGTAATATAATAATTACCCAAATGGCCTTTGTCAAAAAAAAAAAAAAAAAGGTTTCCCTACCCTAGGCTAGAGGGTAGAGAAGTGACGGGGCAAGCAATATAAATGAGAGAAGTTAGAAAAATGATAGAGGCAGGAGATTTCTAAGAGTTAAAGACAACAGAGACAAATACTGTTACACGATCCTGCAACACTGGCCATCTAAGAGCAGCTGCTTCGACAGACCCTCCTGAGGCTGCACAAGCGGGAGCAGGAAAGGGAGAGTGCACTCACTCCCTAGACACAACCAACACCTTGAGGGAGTGAGGTGCTGACCCTGAGAAGCCAGGACATAGAGACACAAAGGGCAAAACTGGCATAATATAGTTCGCAAAAATAATTTTCTAGATCCTACTTTGGTGAGTAGCAACTAAGGTCTTAAAAGGCTGTCGTTTCTCCCTGTCCAGAGAAAAGCAGTGATGAAAATCAAGAGACATGGAAATAATGATCCAATGGACTAACAGACCACACAAACATCTCTACAACACTGAGACTAGAAATGGTGACTAGATCCCACTACTAACTACTCTGAAAAATTAGAAGGTCCTGGTGATAATGGGAGAAAAGCTTCTAACAGAGTTCAAAATCCTAAGACACCAGGCTTTCTGGTCAGATTCAGACTGATGGGCCCCCGCTCATACCCAAGGGTATGGCCTCGCACATGAGAATTACCAACCATTTTAAGATAGAAAGAGCAGCATTTAACAAAGGACAAATTCAAAGGGTTACAAAAGGAAGAATGGAAATGGGTGGGGGGGAGAGAGTACTTAGGATAAATGATGGTACCTTGACATGACTGAAATGGATGAGTTGAATCAAGAGTTCTTATGAGTCATTCAAAATAAAACTGTGAGGGAAGGTGGGGAGAGGAGGCGAGGAAGGGGAAACCTGTCATGATGACTGGCACATAATCACACACACACTGCACCCCCTCCCCAGGGGGACGAACAACCGAAACCATGGGGGAAGGGAGACAGCAGTCGATGTAAGATATGAAAATAATAGTTTATAATTTATCAAGGGGCCATGAAGTGGGGGGAGCTGACACAAAAGGCTCAATAGAAAAATAAATGTCTAGAAAATGATGGCAACATATGTGCACATGTGCTTGATACAAGTGATGTATGGATTGTTAAAAGAACCCTCACTCTAATAATAATAACGTATATATACATATACATGGTTTCATATATATATATATAAATTTTAAAAACTTGACATTTTTAGAAAGTACTTTGGGAGCCTAGTCAGTCCTCTCTCAAGCATGCCTATAATACTGACATAAGCATCTTTCAAATGCATGTTGT